TATATATATATATATATATGTTTTATTTATTTGATACTTCTTTCTTACTCAGGCTGAAAACTTACTGTATCGTTGTCACTATCATTAATCAATGGTATTCACACACATTTACAACTCTAAATGTACAGAAGTTAAAAATATTCCATTTCTTAATAAATCCATTCATAACTTTAAAAATAGCAATGATTTTCTATCTTCATTAATTAAAAGATAATATGGTAAAACCTGTGTAAACTGGAACTCTANTAATCAATGGTATTCACACACATTTACAACTCTAAATGTACAGAAGTTAAAAATATTCCATTTCTTAATAAATCCATTCATAACTTTAAAAATAGCAATGATTTTCTATCTTCATTAATTAAAAGATAATATGGTAAAACCTGTGTAAACTGGAACTCTACAGTACCAAATTATTATTATCCCCCCCAGTTTGGCAAGTTTCAGTTTTGAACAGATTTTAGTATTAGTTTGAACATTAACTTTGATCTCTGTAATTATCAAAATACTAATTAACTTGGTTTTTAATATTGGGTACTAGTTACTTTTAAAAGTTACTAAATATTCTATACAAGACAAAAGATAACATTGTGTTATGGCTTATTCTCATTGCTTTCACAAATTACATAGTTCCTTGTTTTCAAGAACTCTGTTCTCAGAGACTCATTTGATTCTTGAATGTTCTATATTCTTAAAAATATTTGATTTTGCCCCTGGTTAATTCCAACAAAGATTAATATTAACAAAGATTTTGTGTCTGTATGTCTCCTTGTCACATGGCATTCATTTCTGTGATAAGGTTCAAAATTGTTCTTTGAATATACTTAGTTGTGTTCTGCAATGCATACCTGGAAACTATTTTACTTATTTGTCTATGAGTGGAATCTTAATTTTCCACTTTATCCAAATTAAGTTATTTTCTTTGTATCCAAAAACTTCTCCTATTTCCACATTGGATGGGTTTCTGGCTTATAAGAAATGCTCAAGTCTGAAGAATTTTTTCCAGAATTGATTCGGATAAATGACGCTCTATTGTATTTTAAAGATAGCAGTAACTGCTACCTTTAAGATTGGCAAAGAGTTTATTATGAAATTAAACATTTTTGGCCTAACTTCAGCAATTTTCAGCATCAAATGTAAGTTTTAAATAAAGTAGAATATTTTTATGCTTTAACTGGCAACATCTATATATGTAGTTAAGGTCCAAAGGTTATCAGCCAACCTACTTTGCACATGTCCAGAAAAATGTGAGTAGCAGTTTTGTGAAGCTTAATATTTGAGATATTAGCACTCTCAGTTTCATTCTTATACATTTGTTCCCATGCATCAGATAATGAGGCATAACATAACCTGTATACTATATCAAATTTCGAGTGCTGCATTGTGCAATGATAAAATTCTTTACAAAACAATGTCAGATGCAATCAGAAATTCATGCATGCCTTTGTAATGTCTATAGTGATACTTCTCTATCATATTTGATGGTAAAACAATGAACAAACTTTTTAAATTTTTTTATAAACTTGGATTTTTTTCACCTTGAAACTTTTTAAACTTGGTAGAGAATCTCTTGATGACAACCCGTGTAGTGGATGACTAACCACAGTGATCACTGAAGAAAACATTGCACTTACAAAGCGTTTTATAATTAATGTCTGAAAATGAACATTTCTGCAAAATTGACTTATGGAAAACAAGTTCTTCAAATTCTTCATAAACATTTGTTAATAAGCAAGGTCAGTGCCTGTTGGGTGTCCAGAATTATTTCAGTAATTCAGAAGCAACAGTGGTCAATTGTGCATGACAGCTTTTTGGAGCTCTGCAAAGAGAACAAGTAATAGTTCTGCAGTTCATTGTCATCAAGGTTGAGACCATGGTTCTATTCTATTATCTTATGTCAAAAGAGAATTGATGAAATGGCACCATGCACGGGAATCTTCTCTGAAGAAGGCAAAAGTGTCACAGTCAACAACGAAGGTAATAGCAATGATTTTCTGGAATTGCAAGGGTATTTTTATTGATTGATTTCAAGAAGAGAACTCCTACAGTAAATGTTAAATATAATGGTAATGAATGGTAAAACTCCAGGATGCCATAAAAAAAGGAGTGGGTAAACTTTCAAAAGGTGTGTGGATCCTGCACAACAATGTACCCATTTGTACTGCATTTCATGTGAAGGCTGCCATTAAAGATTGAGGCTCCACTGAATTTCTTCATCTACTATACCATCCCAACCTGACCCTGGGTGACTAATAATATTCTTGAAACTGAAGTCTGATCTTTGTAGACAAAAGTTTAACAGCAATGAAGACGTCCAGACAGCTATTTTTGACATTTTGAGGGCAAAGACCAAAAGTACTTTTTTGACTATAAATTTGTTAATTCTACATTATGAAAAAAAATATATATATATATATATATTTAATATAGTTTCCCTTTTATTGCAATACAAAGAAATATCAAATATATAAAAGATATATATATATATATGTTTTATTTATTTGATACTTCTTTCTTACTCAGGCTGAAAACTTACTGTATCGTTGTCACTATCATTAATCAATGGTATTCACACACATTTACAACTCTAAATGTACAGAAGTTAAAAATATTCCATTTCTTAATAAATCCATTCATAACTTTAAAAATAGCAATGATTTTCTATCTTCATTAATTAAAAGATAATATGGTAAAACCTGTGTAAACTGGAACTCTACAGTACCAAATTATTATTATCCCCCCCCATTTTGGCANTTCATCAGAAAATTCTTTCAAAATGTGCATCAACTGTGGTACATCATTTGTAATAAAGAAATAACTTTCTTTAGTAGACAATACATACAAGATGTGTCTTTTATACAATTTGTCCTTTCTCATGCAGATGAGAGATAAGACAATCCACAGCAGAGTCGACCTTTTATTTGAGGCTTCTCGTCTGCCTCCAAATGCAAAACAGTCCAATATTTCATCCTAGTGGTGGCAGCACAATTAAAATTAATTACAATTTTAAAATTAAGACAAGACAATTTAATTTCTAATAAATTTGGCTTAATTTTAAACATCCAGTTTTAAAACCTGAGGAAGAACACGGAAGGTGTTCAGAAAATGTTTGTGCGTTAATATTTTACAATTTCGCATCGGTTACAGGCTTGAGTAACTCGTAATTTTGTTTATACAACCTGGTGTGCTTGTAGTAGTTATTTACAGAAATATCAGAAAGAATCTGATCTTTGTATATGTTGAATTTTTTTTTTATCAGAATAAGTATTATGAATAAAGAAAATAAGGAATAAAATTATTATGGTATAACATTTTAAAAAAAATAAAAACTTAAATTTGCATTTTTGAAACAAATGTCCTGTTTTGCTTATAAGAGCATGCTTTTATGTATGCCAGCTTGTTTTGGCTATAAGAGCACTGTACTGTAAATGTAAATATATTAATACAGTAACTACTCAATAACATCTCTGTGGTAACCATAATTAAAAATAAAAAAATGCTTCCAATACTATAAAAGTTGTTTCATACAAACTTTTTTTTAGATACTTTGTGCATTATAGTGCCAATTTTGTCTCATCTACAAATGCATGTTCTTATATATGCAGAAATACAGTATATTTGCAACATTTCAAAAGCATTTTGTAATATCTTCTTAGATATTACAATATGTTTAAACAAATTAAGAATACTATAAATTAAAATTTTCATAAAATAATTCATTAAACAACAAATTATTAATAATTTAAAAACACAAACTCATAGATCACATAATTCATAGATTTCATTTACTATTTATTATTTCTGAATTAAACATTTGAATTAACTGAACACACTAGTGTTTTCAACTTTAAATATATAATATATTATATTATGTTGTACTAGTATTTAAATTTTTAAAAATATATTTGAATATTTGCATTAAGCTAATTTACTTTAAGCTATTTAATTAAGCTAAAAAATTATATATTTAAAAAATTTTTCAACTACTAACTTTTAAAAATCAAATCCTAAAAAGATTATATGAAGTCATTTAAATTCTATTAGAATGTCAATAAAATTTAAAGTTATAATTGCAATAGAATAATAATAGTGGTATTTTAAAGAATGATCTTAATACATAATAATTATCTAAATTTGAAACAGTAAATAAATATATTAAAATTATGAATTTTTAGTTCACATTTTATATATTATGTATATTAATTTGAAATTATTGCAAAATTCCAAAAATTAATTTATATGAATATATTAATTACCTAATTTAGGTTAAATTAAAAATAATTAAATTTTTAGTAAACATATACATGATGAAAATAATGAAATGAAAAAAAAATTAAGACATACAGCCATCAGTTTGGCCCTGGGCTTCGAATGCCCAACCTGACATATGGGAGTTGAAGACCTGCAAGGAGGACAAGTGGAACGGAAGCAAAATGCACACACACACAAAACACATATTTATACTAAGCATTTAACATTTTACAAAAACAAAATTAGTGCAATCAAACAAAAAGGATTTTAATCCTATTAAAGTTCTTAATTTACTTCATTAATAAAGTAAGGTACTTCATATTCAGTACTTTTTGTATTGTTGGTTTACTTTAATTTTAATGTTTTTACTTTCTTTTCCTCTTTTATTGAAAAAATATATAATAGATAAATGTCTCTTACTTAACAAAATGTTTCTGAATATGACAATAATAGTATTTTATTAGATTTTTATACTTTAAATTCAAAGTCATTTAATTTCAAATAAATACAAATTAGAAATTGTTTTATTGTGTTAATCTAATTGTTTGTTATTTCATTTATATCATATCATAAAAATAAACATATTAAACAGTTTATAATTATTTTCAATTAATATTAAATATGTTAAATGAAAATAATTATAACCATTTTGAACATTTTCTTCCAATTTACTCATATATAGCTTTTATTAAATTTTTAAAATAGATTATTTTAATCAAAAGAAATTAATAAAATTAAAATTACATATAATTTTAAATATTTGGGAATTTAGTCAAAATATTTAATTTGCTCCCTTTTTGTTGCCTTAGGAAATTGAAGAAGTGAAGAACAGATCAGGCACAAAAGGTGAAAAATGAAATGCCATTAAACATTAACATCAAGATCAATACAATGAATTTTAACCTATTAGATCTGAATTTTTGTAAATTTGATGCATTTTATATGATGCATTACTTCTAATCTAAGAAAAACTGCACTGTGATATATAGGACCCACCAAAACTGCATTATATTTATTTTTTAACTGTTGTCTTTTATTAACTTCTGAACTATTTATTTATTTAAGTTTATTAATTAGAAAAGAATATTAACATTTATTATTTATATATATATTAGTTATTTTAAATATGCATGATTTTCACATTGTATGAATGTCTATTATATTTATATATTATTTATAGAGAATGAATGATATATTTTAGTATTACTTTTTTTCCCCCTCACTCTTCTATGTTTTCCTTATTTTGTTTTATAAATTGTTATCTTCTCATTTGTGGAATCTCATTTTATTATAATTGTAACAATATAAAAAGATATATTTGTGAAACTGGAATTTTAATAAATAGTTTAACAACTGTTAGAGAAAAGAGTATTATTCAATATTTTAGATTTTTCCAAATATAATTAAAAATCTAAAATCATGTTAAATGTTTCAACTTTTAACTTTATAATGTATAAGTCTTCTTTTTGTACTAATCCTACTAAAAGAAACTTGTAAAATTCAAAGCATGTTATGTAAAATACAATTATTTTTAAAAATTAAAATTTAATTAGGTTTGTTTTATTTAATTTACTTACACATTATTATCCTAATGTAGTTTATAGTTTTGAATCCAAGATCAGTAAATTTCTGTATCAGGTTCAATCAGAACTTATCATGATAAAGATTAATTTTAATTATATAATTTAATATTTTAATATATATCTTGCTTAGATTGTTCATTGCAAATTATTTCATGTTTAACCTTTAAAAACTATGTTAACATTAAATATATATATATATATAATGTTAGCATCATATTTTAAATAAATATCATATTGATTAAATGAAAATTTTTCAATACTGAACCTGATACAAGTTTGCAAGATCTCCAAAAAATAATTATAAGTTGCTAAATAACCTAAATTGCACAGGCTCTCCTACGGCGTGGGTGAACCGGAAGGAGAAGCCCTCGGATGCTCAGAGATTACGTAATGGCATTACATGTCGTGGGGCGCTACATGCAGGTTCTCCTCGTGCGTAGTCTCTACCTTTCCTCTGGGGTATTGCTATTCGACATCAACATCAAGTGGAGTGAGTTTTGGGATGTGGTACAGTTGTTATTTTGCAATTATACTTCGTGAAAAGATCTGTTCAAGATTTCCATTTTCTATATTTTCTAGATGTTTATGAAATTGTTTAATGTATGTTTTTGAATTTTTTTTGTACAAATTAGCTAAATGAAGCATCTAAAATTTTTAGTATTTCTTTACAATAGTATTTTTTTTTTTTTTTTTTGTAATGATGTAGTAATAATAATAATTTTTCTGATTGGGTAAACTTTGAACAAATTGTGTGCACTTCGTGCTGAATTTTGTGAAGCATTTTCATTTTTGTATAAAATTCATGTCAAATTGTGCACTATTATTTATCTTCATTTTAACATTATCATAATGCTATCATTTTCTTTTGTCTTTCAATATGTGTCAATATATTAAAAGAATTTAAGGATTTTTTTTATTACTGCTATGAAATCTCATCTTATGTTAATGACTGATTTCTTAAATATGTTTAAGATGGATATTTATATTTTTTTATATGATTAAATTAAGCACTTTGAGAATTTAAGTTTTGGATTTGTTTTCTGTTGTAAAACTGTTTTTTTTAATTAAAAAAAAAAACAGAATTTAATGATTTTGATTAATTCATTTGATTGCACTTAATGTGTCTGTAAAGAATTTCAAATAATTTTTTTTGTCAATATTAACATAACAGATTTCTAAATAAGAATTTTGAAAACATTGTTAATACTTTTTAATTTAAATTATCTGCATAGAAAAATTCAAATTCTAACATTATATTTATTTCCCACCAATATTGTATGTGTCCTTTTTATATATATACATTATACATTTGTAAATATGAATGTAAACAGGAATTTAAATCTGTAAAATGTAGATTTATAGAATTTCAAATATGTTTATTAATTTGATTTAATGTAATTCAGGATTATTGAAATGCTGCTACAAATTTTTTGTATATAAATTATTAGTATTGAAAAAATTAAATTTTTTTTGTGTATATTGACAAGAAGAAAAAATTCTTTAATGTGCTTTCAATAAATGATTTAAAAGCATCGTTTTTTATTTTTATTATTTAAAATGCATTTTGAGAAATTTCAATGGGTTTATTTAAGGTGTTTAATTAATAAAATGTGTTAAAAGAATTTTAAAGATGAAGAGAATGTGCGATTTTTAATTCTTTTTTAAAAAAATTCTCATCATTGCTACAATCAAGTTGTACATTTGCCAGAGTTAAATTTAGATTTAAATCGCAGATTTGACCATTAAGTTGCGACGTTCAACCTTCATTTCGCGAGAAAGATGATGAATTAAATCGAGATATTTCATTTTTACACGAATTTATGTTANTCAAGCTTATGAATCAGACTCGTTACCACTCTGCCACAGGACGCTCAAATAGAAGAACATATAATTTATATATAAAGTGCTAAAAAAACTTTAAGTTCAATTTTCTCGATTATATTTGAGTATTGCACTTTAGTATTTTACAGGTAGTACACTCACATGGTGTACTACCTCTACACCAAAGATCATCAAAATCCGTTACCCCAAAGCCGTAGGCTCTCCTTGTTAGCCAACATTATATCTTTCTCATTACTAACATCTCTTATGCTCCAATATTCTTCATTATGATTATTTTTTTTTATTAAATATCTTTTTGTTGCTCAAAAGCACTCAATTTTTTTCATGCTCACTCAATTGTTATTATAAATTTTTTATGAATCTCTTTTATTCAGATTTTATGTAAAAAAGATAATTTTAATGGAAAATAACTTGCAATCTTAACAATTTATAAATTAAATGCCTCAAACATTAACAGGAGTGACAAAAATTTTACCCAAGTTTAATTGGAACTAAATTAAAAGACAAGCAAAAAAACTAACTACATTAATTAAATATTAAAACTATATTTAACATAGCTTCCCTTATAATTTTTAACTCAATATTTAAGCTCTACAAAAATAAAGGATGAAAGCAGAATTAACAAAGTGCCCAATGAATTTTAGAAAAACTGATAAGTTATTCTTATGATATATTGAAGATAAAAGAGAATTTACATTACGTGCCTCTAAAGAAAAACTAATGTGTACAAATGTGGTTTATAAGTAAAAAAATGTGCAAAAATTCTACTCACTGTAACAAATAAGTTTTAATATTGAACAATTAAATTTCACATTTTAAATTTTCAATATACCAATTAATTTCTTCCACGAAAAAAAAAAATAATAATAATAATTTTTGCTTCAAGTACATGTTTTCATATTTTCATTGTAAAAGGCAATCTTTAAAAGCATCAAGTTTCAATTACTCTAGCTATTTACAATAAATGTATAATTGTAGTGAACAAACTTTGCCCATTCAAAGCATATACTGTATAAACAGTAATCTTCCCATGAAAAAATTTTTAAATTTGTCAATTGGTAAATGTTAGCCAAATGCAACTGCAAACTTCCTTACAAACCTTAGTACAAGTATTTTTTGTTGTCTTTGACTAACTTAAAACACTCAATTTCATACTATTCTATAGTATGGTTACCTTTAAAAAATAATAGTTGTAAATAAAATATATATTTTTAACTGGTCAAAAAACTATTTAGCTGGTTGACTAACCATCTAAAACCAACTTGGGGGAGAACACTAATATAAAGTAAGCCCAAATTCTATAGTCCATCAGAAATCTGCAATATATATAAATTTTAAGTTAATATTGAAATTAACCTTATGGAAAAGCATTGAGCCATACATATTCTGTTTGAATATGGAGAATATTAAAAAGACACATGGTAATCTCTTTAATGTAATCACAGATATTGCTCTCATTTGTTTAATGTTATCAAAATTATCATGTAAAAAAAAAAAAAAATACTTTGCAAACTGTAATTAGAATTTGGACTTCAGGTAAATAGTTGTAACAAGATAGTTTTAAATATACCTACCAGTCTCAATATGTGGGTAATTATACACAATCATTAATTATTATCAGTCTTAATCAGATTTTAAACATTAATCATTTTTATTGTTATTTGTCCATGGGAAAATAGTTTAAATTGCAAACATTTCTTACTTAAATTAAATGCTAGCTGTTGTTAATGATGATACTGCAAAAAACAGCAAGAAAACATTAGATCAAATGTTTTTCTATAAATTGTAGGTTATGAGCCAATTTTTGCACATGCTTCAGTATGAGAAATAAATCAGGTTTTGCAAAATTATAATCAATAATCAATTTTAAAAAGATAGTCATAATAAAATATAGTAATTAAACTAAAAAATTGCATCTCACATGCACTAAAACTAGGTGGGTCATAAAAATTTGTCATTCAGTTTGAAAAGCACTATACAAAATGTATTAATAATTCATCTTTAAGTTATAAATTTTTAAAATCGTTCTAAAATTGTATTTTTAATGTCATAATCAATAAAACTAGAATTTCCATTAACTGTAGTCTTATTTATACTACTTAATTACTGTTACTAATGGCTATCATCATCATCACTAAAAAATCCCAAAGTGATTACAATAAGCAGCTTCTTTCACTAGTTTATAATAATTTATAAATATAGATATATGTATGTATATTATCAATTCTCTTGTTTCATTTGTTATCAATGCCAATATAACAATTATATTGGCATTGATAACAAATGAAACTTTAAAATAGTTTCATATTTTATTGTTTAATTATAANTCAACTAAATAAAGATGAGGAAACCCGCCAAGTGTCTTAATTTATATCAACTAAATAAAGATGAGGAAACCCGCCAAGTGTCTTAATTTATAGCACTTCATTGTGTTAGGAGCAGAATCTGATTAAGTTGTCAATTATCATTTATCATCATACATATTAATGTTATTAAACTTCTATGTTATTGTTGGAATTAAGCTTACACCAAACTCTGTATGGCACCAAGAAATCATAAACTTTTCCTAAGTTATTTATTAATTCAACAAGAATCATTGTACAGTAGTAATAAAAAGAAACTTAAAATGGTTACAACAACAATGTTTATATAGATGAAAATTCAAAGGTCATATTACAAAGGCAATTTGCCATGCCACTTTAAAGCATGAGAAGATATTTGATATTCTTGCATTTAAGATCTTAACAACTTTGTGGTGACTTAAATGTAATTTTTAATAAACCATATATTGAAAAAAGCAAAAATGTTTGAAATTACACCTACTTGATAACTATAAAGCAGAAAAATCTCTATATTGATTTTTATTAGTTACTTAGATCATAAATGATGATATAAATGCAAGAATACTGAATACATTTCTCATCCCTTGAAATGGCTAGCAAAATCACCTTTGTAACTTGCTATTTTAACTCTTGCTGCCTAAACTGATCTTTGTTCATTTTTCTGTTCATAATAACAATTTCATTTTTCTTTTTAGTTACTTCCACATACATTTTTCATGAATTAATAATTAATCAACATTTATATTTTGTTGTAATTTTTATGTTCCATTTAAAATATCCTGTCCAATCTGTTTGCTATTTAGAATTCAATTAAAATGAGATTTTTACAGCTGAAAAGATAAATAATATATATATATATATATTATTTATCTTTTCAGCTGTAAAAATCTCATTTTAATTGAATTCTAAATAGCAAACAGATTGGACAGGATATTTTAAATGGAACATAAAAATTACAACAAAATATAAATGTTGATTAATTATTAATTCATGAAAAATGTATGTGGAAGTAACTAAAAAGAAAAATGAAATTGTTATTATGAACAGAAAAATGAACAAAGATCAGTTTAGGCAGCAAGAGTTAAAATAGCAAGTTACAAAGGTGATTTTGCTAGCCATTTCAAGGGATGAGAAATGTATTCAGTATTCTTGCATTTATATCATCATTTATGATCTAAGTAACTAATAAAAATCAATATAGAGATTTTTCTGCTTTATAGTTATCAAGTAGGTGTAATTTCAAACATTTTTGCTTTTTTCAATATATGGTTTATTAAAAATTACATTTAAGTCACCACAAAGTTGTTAAGATCTTAAATGCAAGAATATCAAATATCTTCTCATGCTTTAAAGTGGCATGGCAAATTGCCTTTGTAATATGACCTTTGAATTTTCATCTATATAAACATTGTTGTTGTAACCATTTTAAGTTTCTTTTTATTACTACTGTACAATGATTCTTGTTGAATTAATAAATAACTTAGGAAAAGTTTATGATTTCTTGGTGCCATACAGAGTTTGGTGTAAGCTTAATTCCAACAATAACATAGAAGTTTAATAACATTAATATGTATGATGATAAATGATAATTGACAACTTAATCAGATTCTGCTCCTAACACAATGAAGTGCTATAAATTAAGACACTTGGCGGGTTTCCTCATCTTTATTTAGTTGATATAAATTAAGACACTTGGCGGGTTTCCTCATCTT